AATAATTCTATACTACCAAGCTTACACTGTGTAGTAACTTAACTTCTTAAGTTAAATCACAAGATTCACTAACTCAGCCTAAGTGAGGCTTTGTTTTGTAAGTTTAAAAACAACGGGTAATATTGCTAACGTTAAGGTGCTGACAGTTGTGTAATTTTTTTGTTATAATGTATAGTTACCATGATGATGAACTGCAGTAAGGATATGATGAATCAAGAAATGTTTTTGTTATCACAGCTTGGGTAAAAGGAAGAAGAAAAAATTGAAATTAATATCTTCTTTACTATGCAGATGGAACAAAGAGTTTTTGTAAACCCAGTGTGTGTGTCTGTTGATCAGTGTGTTTAAATTCATACATAAATTTATGGACTTTTTTAAGTTTTTAGTGGCACACCAATATATATTTTGCTCACAAGAAGCTGAGAGTAAAAACAATAATGAATCTTCTCACTAGAAATACTTGAAGAAACTATTTTGATTACTTCTTCCAAATGCTCTAGTTTGTAAATCTCTTTCTGCCTTTTGGAAATTTCATGTGCAGAAGACCAGAAAAGGTCCCTGAAGCCATTTTGTTTTCAGGAATCTCTGACCATCTTTACTTCTCAATGATGATATTAATAGGGACAGTCAGCTTAGTAACTATGGTTGCTACCTGTCGTGTATTTTACTGAGACCTTACTTATTCAGTTGCTAAGTAAGAACGGAACACGATTCATTCATTATTTTGTTTTTAACTTTTTTTACATTTTGATGAAAATGTTGAAAGTTATCAAAAGCCAATATGTCTTCCTGTTTTAGAACTACTCAAGTGGCAGTCCTGTTAGTAACTCCAGTTACTCTGAAGTTATCTTAATGTTTTTTTACCACAACAGTTAGAAACTTATAGCAGCAGAGTTGCTTAGCATTAATAAATAAACTACCCTTGACATCATCTTCTTAAAAAGTAGGTGATAGTTTTTAAATTTCTACGTAGTAAAATATCATTGAATTATGTCAAAATTAATAGCTGAATTTTCATTAAATATTTATATATGTGTGTGTGTAATATATTTTTTTCAACATGTCATATCATGTTTAAACAAAAGTTCTTGGTTCCAAATGATGAAGAATGGATTCTTTAGCTGATGTACAAAATGATTTGAATAGATTTTTCATGTTGTCTTGCACCTTGAATAACAAACATGTTTTTAAGAATGTGACGCAAACCTCTTCTCCACCGTATGCCCGAACAAAACTTGCCAGTAAGATTAATTATTGGAACAGAGTACAGATTCACATCTAACGGTATTATTTTTATTGTAGACAGAGCAGCATGAAGTGTCACATACCTGAGATATCGTGGCACAACCGAGATCCTGTGCTCAGTGTAGATATACAGTGGTCTGAAGGAGATGTTCGAAGACTGGCAACAGGTGGCCAGGATTCACATGTACTGGTCAGTGTTTTTATTTTTGATATTGTTTTAAAAGCTCCAAATTTTGAATAAATCTCTCAATGGATATTTTATGAGAATGTGACTAGGGTTAGTGTTGTTATTTTAGTTCTATTATCGGGTAATTACTTTGTTTCATTTCCAGGAGACAACAAGTGGTCGTTTGGTCCATCTAGGCCTACTTCTATATCTGATTACTAAAAATACCAATCAATCTCTTTTTACATTCCTTTAAAGTTGTAGCTTCTACCACACTTGAAGGTAAAACTCTTAGATAACCCTATTAGAATGAAAAAGTAAAACTACCTTTACCATTTTTTGTGAGTTTCCCATATTTTAAACTTGAATCCACTAGCCACAGATTAAATCCTCCAAATCTCCAACAGTCCAGCAGCTTTGAAGGACCAGATGATTCTTTATTGGCCATAAGTTATTTAAAAACAAACATGCCCCTTCCCCCATTTAAGCCCTTCTCTTATCCAGTAGAAAAATGTTGAGGGTTTTTCTGTCCCCTTCAAATCTCAAATCATCCTGTATCTCTCTGAATCCTTTCTAACCTTCCAACATCTATTATTAAATATAATGACCAAGACTGAACTTGATAGTCCAGATAAGGATTTAACCACATCTTAAAGAATGAACCTATAACCTTTGGTAACTTAAACCCTTATCTGAGTACTGACAAACCTCAGAAAAGTTAAATTTAAATAAATATAAAAGAAAACAGTGGGTCATACAAAATAATCTATAGCAAGGCTATCCTTGAGAAAAGTAAAAAATTTAAACCCACCCAGTGGTTTTATGAAGAAAATGTAAGAGTTATTACATTTAAGAAAATTATTCCAAACAAAAACGTTTACAAGATGGTCAGTATGTTTTACTAAGAAACTTTGCCCATAAATACTCATTTATACAGTCTTCACATCTTTAGTTTTGCATAATTTATACTCTTGATGGACATACAAATCTGGGGTTGAATTCCCCAAGGTACAAATCTGGGGTTGAATTCCCCAAGGTGCAAGCAGCAGATAGCCCTACGTGGCTTTGCTCTAAATCAAACAAATAAATCAATGATAGTTTCATTTATTACCAAACAAAATGATATCAGGGGAGAACTTTTATTTGTTTCTATTAATTAGCAGTAACTGGATTAGGATTTTTATTAAGTGAGAAGATTTTGTAAATCAATAAAAACTTTATAAACTTTTGTAGGCATTCAATATTAACGCAATTCACACAAATATTAACA